TTTCCCTGTATGAGTGATCCATAGTGGGAAACCTTAACCAGGATCTGAGCCCTGAGTATGGCTGGAGGCACAACATAGCCATAACATGTACACAAGCTGTCACTTCATAAAACATCATGGAGGGGTCACGTAGCTTCCACTGACACAATCTGTGTGCTGCTTCTACCAGTTGTGGCCCACCCCCTGCATGACTGTCTATTCTACAGGTCCAAATTCGGGGGTGGGGGTTGGTGGGGTTTATTTAGGACTCTGGTTTACAGGAAGATTAGGATTCATGTGACAGAGATACAACAATCTTAATTTGAGTTGCCTAGAGAAAGTTCAATTTCAAAACTAGTCACTGTGAGAACTCCATTCCTGTATTAACTCAGGGGAAAGTTTAAAAACAAATTAAAAGTAATGTTTTCCAATACTCCTCTTTTCAGATTAATTTCATGCTAATTATTGCATTACTTTTAGCTGATAAATATTCAGAGACTAAAAGAAACCAACAAGATGGATTAATTCTCCCACACTACAAACAAAATTTTTAAATATTTTATAGAACATAATTAAATGCTGTTTGTTGTTTTCAGAATCAGATCTTGGGACATGTTAATTAATTGCTTTAAGAGGACTGAAGACATGTTGCAGACGGAAAAAAAAAAAAAAATCCAGATATTTATCTGTAACGTTCAACCTGGTTGGCAAATAATGGTTCCAAAATAAATCCTACCTGCAGAAATCCGGTGGCACCATGCCATAAACATTTATCCTGTCACAGAGCTCTAATGCGATAGTCATTGTGAACCAGCCAGTGCTAAGCCAAGTGTTGGATATCTTCCTGAAAGCAAAAACATAATTAAGTTTCTAGGCTGACAATTCTTGAGATATCTGAAGCAATTTCTGGGCATTTTTTTCATTCTTGTGAAAGGTTATAAAAATTGGGCAACCAAGACTACTTTGCTCATTCATCTTTTAATGATTTTATGAGCGTTTTCTGTCAGTGGACTCATCTATGCAGAAATTGCCCTTGCTGTAATTAATTTTGGGCACAGCAATGTTAATATTTAGCTGACCTTTTGATAAGTTTACTTTAAGTGACTGAAACTTCATGTCCTATATTTATATTCTTCTGCTAGTAATCTATACACATCTATAATCACTTAATGGAGCTTACACACTAAGTGCTCAGGAAGATGCATCGCGGGGGATGAGGAGGGCTCCTTAAGCTGCTGCCTCCCACAGCATACAGAAGAGCCCATCTGCTGGAGTGAGATCTGGCCTCAAGTCCCTGGTTTAACCATTCTTCCTCTCAACCTGTCTGTGACTTGGTTTCCTGTCCTGCTCTGAAGGCTGGGAGAAATCTTTAAAAGAAGCACAACTCATCCCATCATTATTTATGCAAAATAGAAGATACCTCCGTGTAACTGCTCACAGATATAAGAGGTTTACAAGCTGTAAAGTCCCAGTCCTGTGTTAAGTTCCTGCACTGTCTCTATGCTGGGGACACCTGGCAGTCTTGGAACAGGAGCGTCAATGGAATGCCAGTGAGCAACACACCTTAGAGGTGTCATGAAGGCAAGTTTAGGGGCAATCCTATAGGACTGAATCAGGCACCTCTCCTAGAAATGGAGGCACATAATGTTGGGTATTTGCTCCAGAGAAAACAAGTTCACTCAAAGGTCTCCCTTCAAATACTGTGAAGAAGGAGACAGCAGGTCTCCCTAATGGCTCTTCACTCGGCTAGAGAAGTCCCACAGGATGAAGTTCGAGCTGCAATCCAAAAAGGCCTCAGATTCTTGATGACAGCCTGTCACAGTGGCTGGCTCTCTTTTCATCTCTTACTAAAGCTGAGGCACCAAGAAAGCAACTGCAGGCTCCTGGATGGCTTCTGTGCTGTGCCAGACTGTACTAATAGGGAACCTACATTAACCCTATTCTGCTACACCTATATCTGCCTGACACCTGAGAAATTTTGTGACCCACTCCAAAAAAACAGCACAGAACACGAGGCTGTCATCACAGCAGTCACCTGAGAATCCCAGGTCCTGGCCCCAGTTCCAAGGCCATCTTTTACAGTTCACCCAGTGATAGCAGAACGCACAACAGTCCTGCAAGCAGGGACCTGAAGCCACAAGTGCCAGCAGTCACTAGTAAGTAATTCAGCAGCTTACCAAGCTAATGGTGACCAAGCTGGTTCCAAGTAAGTCATCTACAGGACAGTAGGAAGGAGATGTTTTGAGCACTGTCAGACTGAGGAATGCCTCGTACCAAATTCCTGTTTTCTCAGTGAATTAGACTATTGCAAAGAAGAAGGGGGAAAATAAAAAAAAAAAAAACAGGAAAAGGAAAGAAGTGGTGGTATGAGTTCCTTTAAAAGGAACTTCTAAACATCAGGTAATTCTTGAATCAAAAATGCTTGAAGGATGTTGTGAAGACGAGGTAATTTGTCCTGTCCTTTGTAGGTCACCCTGTAATGTATGAACTCCTGAAATGTATGTTTTCACTGCTCCTGACATACAGACTTTCAGGCTAAGCTAGCATTTGCAGAATAGCATGATTTAGGCATCTCATTAGTTCCAATTATGAGGCCTTACTTATTATTTGAATTTGTACTTGAGCTTGGGGGCGTGTGTGTGTGCAATTTGTCACAATGTCATGGCTACGTCATAAGCTCAATAGAAGCCTTCAGGCACTGCAACAATACAAACCAGTAAATCATAATTTTTGGCTCAGAATTATTAGGAAAAGAAAAGGTAGGGAGAGACCTATAAAATTTGCTTTCCTACGACTTCTGAGTTTCTGAGCCTATGAATCTCTAGATAATTCAGGAACATGTTCAGGCTAAGAGTACTTTGAAGCTTGCACAAGGCCACTGGTTTGGTGATGACCTTACATTCCAAAACCAAAGGAGCAACTTTATCTAGACCATGGCCAAAGTGGCTGGGCTTTGCACAGGTCAGGCAACTCAGCTGGGCTGTCTGCTGGGTTAGTTCTCTTTGCTTACACACACTTATGCTGTAATTTAGTGTTTTCAATAAATAGGAGAATAACTCAATTTAAATAAATTAGATTAAAAGCTACATAATGAAATAAAGATTTATTTCAAGTACCACTTTGGCCTCTTTAAATACTATGTCTGTAGGATAGCACTACAGAAACAGGGTTACAGTGTCTTGCCTTTTCTTAAAAGATCTGAACAAGAGTCCAACAAAAGAATACTGTTTTTATACCTAAGCAACTGTAATGAAAGAATATGAAGAACTGTCATGTGGTTATTAGGGGAAATTATCAGATATTCTTTTATACGATGAACTAATACACTGTGCTGATAATTCTGTAGTGCACACTAAATTACAATTAAAGGCCTTTCTGCTCCACCAAAATCTCATTTATAATCTCTGTGGAAATACTCTTCCTGCAGTTATTTCATTTATGCTTCCTTTATCTAATTACTATAATATTGGTTCTGAATCATATTTTCTTAATGTACCCTTATTCAATTATAAAGTTATTTTCAAGTACAGTTACTTTATAATGCCAAGTACATTGCTTTGCAGCCTTTGTGATTCACCATAATATTTAACTGGCAATGTTTTCTGAAGGTTTCCCTTAACTTCAAAATCAGCCTTTTTTTCCAAAAAGCACAACACATCCAATTAGATTTTTTCCTCATCATTTTCAAGACAGAAATGAATGGTTTGATTATTGTAACCTTGCAATCAGGCTTCTCTCCCCCTCCTTTGTTTTTTTTTGCAGGCACTAATATCAAAAGCTCAGCAGACATCTCCCAGGGAACAGCAACATTCTGGGCTGCACAACGTTCTGCTCCTGCCCCCACAGCTAGAGGAATTTTCTTTCCTTACAAATTCCTTCTTACCCATGTTTCTTTTCATCTTCCCTCTCTTTTTCTGTGCTGCCTATTCATTTATTTTCATCTCCCGTTTTAATCTTCTTAGTCCTTCAAGTATGCCGTATGTGCCCTCTAAGAGAGCAGTTCATACACAGCAGAGCCTGTGATTTCTTAAAAGCAACAGGACCTGTTCACGAGGCTGAATTTTGCTGGCATCCAAGTGCCCTTGATTCACACCAGGAGTTCAGGGTGCCCATGACTGAGTCCACTATAAACTTAAAATGTCATTTGTCTCATATGCCTTGAGAGTGTTTCAGGAGTCAAGCCTGAGCCCGGTGCCTGTGCAGAAAAATAAGTGCTTTCATCACATGCACAGCTATAGGCCTCTTCTCCAGATGGGTGATGCAGAACCAGAAAGAGAAGCTTGCCTGAACTTGCACAGCAAGCATGAGGAAAGGAATGGGAACCTGGCTCCCCATGGCAGAGCAGGTAAACTGTTCCTCAAAAGTGGGGATTGCATGTGGTCTTACACTGAAAGAGTAATCCAGGCTAGGAGGTGGCAGGGTGTGTTCCTTGTGTACAGGGTCTGACCCTTAGGGCTGATGTTATAGTGCAACTACAGCTTTCCTTTGTAAATACTGGGCATACAGAGAATCCTTTGTACTTTTCTTGAAGGGTTCAAATTCTCTTTTTCACTTTGCTCTACTCTGGGTCAACAAACCTGGAGAAGACTAACGCATCAGAACTAGCAAGGTATCTCCCCTTGTTATCCTTCCTTCTCATTCTAGGAGAGGCAGAGTCTGTGGCAGGGACTCACAAGCACCAATTTGAGGATGAAGACAAAATGACCTTTAATGGTAAGAAACTCAGCAAGTTACTCTGTGTTCTAGTGGTAGCGTGAGTCAATCAAGAACTTATATGCACGGTTTGATCCACTGTAACCGAAGAGAGCTCTGCAAGCAAACCATGTGTGCTGTGACAAAGGCATCAAAGATACAGTCACCATCAGCTAAGAGGATACAAGTTTCCTCTAACACTGGGTCTGCCTTTGTTGTGCAGCCCAGAAAACTAAGGCCGTGCTTTTGACTCCTCCCCATCCACAAGAGGATCAAGGCTCAGCTCCAAGCTTTGGTGTGTAGGTACGGTATTTGTGAAGCTAGAAAATCTCACCCTGAGTTACTGCACAATAGAACTACCTCTTCATTAGTACCTAAGTGGGGATCCTGTTCCATTTTTACAGCAACGTATTTAATAAGTAAAAAATTCGAGCTTGTTAAAAATAATTTTATTTATTTTTTTTATATGAAGTCTTTGGTTTAAATGCCCATTTCCAAATGTGATAGGTGAAAATGCTCAAGTCCTGCAGTGTGTCACTTACTAAAGATTTTATTTGAAGATTAGGCTACAAGTCATAAACAGTCTCATAAAGATGTAACTATCATAATGACTTTCCTTTCCCCATCTGGAAATATAAGATGAACTGTTGTGAAGCACCTAATATATGACTAATGTTTATTTGTTTTACAAGAAGCTTTACAGTTGCAATGTGCCAAGAATGCTTAAATTCAATAAACAGCTATTATAATTTACTGAACGGTGGCATTTCCTCTATAAGAAAACATAACCTATCCATTCTGATTTTTCAGAATCAGTAAAAAAACCTTCCAGGTATATTACACCAAAGCAGGATTTAAACAGCTGCTGCCTCCTTGGCTGTGTAAACAGTACATCCAGATTCTGGTGTTATAAGTTGATGAGGCAATACTCCACAGAAATTATTTTTATGCATATTTTTTACTCATGTTACCACAGAAATTATTTTTATGTATATTTTTTACTCATGTTACCAGTGATGTTATTTGGCGTGTCATACCATATTACAACTCATGAGTCAGAGGATTTAATGGGTGTGGTGACACCCATTAAATCCCTCTGAGCAGATCTGAAATTGGCATATAGAAGCCGCATTATTTTACTGCTGTATGACATCCCCCAAATGTATCCGTGTAAGTTCTCACCTGTCTTTCCCAGTTTCCCGTTTAAAAAGGTCATCAAATTGGAGCATCTTGTGGCGAGAAATCATATATGCTTTTAATTGAGGCAGTATCTGATTCATCAGCTGGAGGTTATTATACACCAAGCCTTTTCCATCTCTCCTCATGTAGCTGCTAGGACCCCAGAAGATAAACACGGCACCGTGGCTCATATTTAAGAGCTCGTTGCGATTTCGCAAAATCCTCTGAATACTGGAGTGTGCAATGACGCGAAGGCTCGTTTTGTTTCCAACATCTTTTCCATAACCTCGAGTGGGCGCATCGTTCATTCGTATTACGCACTCTGTCTCGTCGATTCTGTCACCTTGTTTACTTCCCAGAAGGTGTCCAGAGCTGGTCACCAGCGCACAACTCTTGCAGTGCATTTTTAAAGGCTGCAAAGACATACATACTTCAAAATTAGCTGTAGACATCTCCCCCTTCACTACATGGTAACTACAGTTTACATGCACATGGCATATTTTACAGAAAAAAATCCCAGAGGGCTTTACCTAAATCTCTCCCAGTAGTCTTCCCAAATAACTGGGGACACATTACCAGTCCATTTGGTAGATGCAGAAGATGTGGTAGAGGTTCATAGCCCTTAAGAGTTCCTCTGTTGAGTTAACGCCACTGTTTAAACACCTTTTCACTGCTGCTTCATATATAGTAATCACAACAGCTTCCATGCTTAGGAATGTACTTCTTCCACTTGCCATAAATGAGCTATAATTGGAATACTCTTCCATTTTTTTCAGGAAATAATCGTAAGTAAGTCCTCATAAGGAAGAGTCAGCCACGGTAGATGAGGATTGG